GATTTAGGGGTTAGGGGTTAGGGTTGAGGGTTTAGGGTTTGGGGTTTGGGGTTGAGGGTTTAGGGTTTAGGGTTGGCGATTTGAGCGCCATTTAGACGGCTAGGGTTGGAGTTGAAGACTCTAAACCACCACTTCTAGAACCCTCCCAGATCTGCGAAAGACAACCTTAAAGGAAGCCTCAAGAGAACCTTTAAAGAAGAAACCCTCAAAGGAAGCCCAAACCCTCCATGAACCTTAACCCTGAACCCTCAAACCCTAAACGGCCCTAAAAGGCTAAGGATCCCCAAAAGCCCTTAAAGGAAGGACCGGCATATCCAAGCCGAGGAGCAGCTTCTAAGGGGCAAAATCCCTGCGTTCAGAGCAGGTAAAATCCGTCCCTACTTTCGCAGCCAAATGGCATCGGGAAGAAAGGACCAATGTTTTGTTGCTGATATAATATACATAAATATATATATACACACACATACATACATACATACATCCATACATCCATACACCCATACATTCATCCATCCATCCATCCATCCATCCATCCATCTATCCATACATCCATGCGTGCATACATACATACATACATACATACATACATACATACATATGTATATATATATATGCAATGCTATGCTTATGGCCAATGCTGATACTATATCAACACTATGATCATGTTCGCCAACAGCGAGAGCTTTGGGGTCTTCGGCAGAAATACGGACTGGGCAGGTTGGTGCAAACTCTGGGACTGATTCTGACCCTAAACCCTAAATCTTGGGTACTGCCCCCACTCAGTAACAGTTGAGTAATATTCATAATATGGACATATAAGGCCCGTAATAGTAGCCCTACTATAGGCTGTTACTGCATGGGGGCGGGGGGCAGTAATCCAACCTAAATCCGGTAAGACGCTTAGGAACTTGGGCCTAGTGTAGGGGCTTAACGACTAGAATAGTTTTTTTTTTGTTGGGGGGAGGGGGGGGGTATAGTCTACTATAAATATATTAAGGCACGCGCCAAAAAAAATAGAGGTAGTTATCAAGGCCCCTATAATACATAGGCTGGGCAATATGAATTCGACGAAGGCTTTGGTGGATTCTTGTTGACATACTAAGGTTGCAAAGCACCCAATACTTGGGTACTTTGGTTTGGCGTGATAGTCTTGCCGTTCGGCAGTTCGGATATAGAACTGTTGTAGGTACTTGGACAACTGCTGTCAGGCTTTGGGGCTTATTGGCGCGCACATCCCATTTTCAGGTTTCCAGGTCTGTCAATCTGCGCATGCGTCTTTGTGCGCAGAATTGCTCCTGCCCGCGCGGGCAGTGGTCCAACTGTGCGGTGGGCGATGTGGTTTCGAATCATGGGTTGGGTGTAGCAGTGCTGATTTTGGCTTGTTGCTTGGGGTTCAGGATCTGGGTGCGTGGGGACTTACAGTCTAAACCCTAAACGCCGAACACCCTCAAACCCCTAAACCCTAACCCCTAAACCGCGAACCCTACTACATCAGAACACCAAGGCCCAGTTGGACGGAGCCCCCGCGTCGTTGGCGGCTGAGCGGGCAGGGGCCCTCTTCAGTAGGTGTGATGTCACACCCAAAACCCCCAAAATCCCTAAACCCCAAAACTCTAAACCCTCTAATCCCTAAGCCCCAAAAGCACTAAACCCAAAAGGCCCCAAACCCCAAAATCCCTAAATCCTACAAAACCCTAAACCCTAAACCCAAAATCCCTAGACCCCAAAAGCTCTAAACCCAAAAAATCCCTAAACCCCAAAAGCCCTAAACCCTACAAGCCCTAAACCCAAGACGGCCCAATGAGGCTCTCAGGGTTGAGGCATGTTCATTGGTTATTGGGGTTAGGGTTTAGGGGTTAGGGTTTAGGGTTGAGGGCTTGGAAACAAGCAGTGGGCAAAAGCGGTTCCAATAACTGCTCTTCTTTAGAACAACCTCCATGTCAGGTAGTTTTAGTCTGCCAGGTTGCCTGGCTCGTGGAGCCTTATAATAATTTATAATCTAAAACCCTGAAGGCATAGCCATGTCTACATTTCAACATTCTATTTAGTATGACAGCCTCAATCACGCAGCGTCCCCCAATACCATGCAAAGTTATAATGGCAGCAGAAACAAAGTGTTCAGCGCAGATGGCTGTGGTTTCCCTAACCCAAAACCCCCATGCAAAGCCTCACAGTAAATTCCCCAACACTCCTACATAAACAAGCAATGAAACCCGGTTGATTAACTCGAATCCCAACGTCCCATAAAACCCTAAACCCTGGATCCTTACCCCTAAACCTGAGCGTTGCCATCACTTCCAGCCATACACCTACGGGCCTCCAAAGTATGTAGAGTTTTGTAGAATAAAAGGCTAGGCTTTTAATAGGTGTTGGGCCATTATTTCACCTACTGTTGGGGGCTTCAAGTAAACGCCCTGAACACCCTAAACGAAACTCACCTACGCGAAGGCATTCACTTGCCGAAGGACGCTCCATCCGCATAAGCCGCCTCAGCCACGCCAATGTGCCGAGTCCGACAGGTGTCTGGGGTTTAAGGTCTCTGCCTCTCTGCCCTTACAAAGTCTTGTAGAGATTCAGGGTGAATCGGGCCTACAACGACAAGGCGTGCACAGGACTTAGCACAGGATTTACTCCCTTGTTCAGTCACGATAGACCAAGCATACAAGGTCAACAAGTGTGAGGTTCTCCCATTGGCTGAGTAAGTTTATGTATACCTCAACCCTAAGTAACGTACCGTTTCAGGTTTCTTTATTATGAGTTCCTCATGTAAAGTCTTTAATGTAAGGGCTTCAATTTCTAAGGCCTCAGGCTTCTGGGCATGAACCGGTCGATATCCTTGGTCATGTTTCGGAGATCTTGATTGCCTGGTGCAGCCTTTTTGGGGATCCTAGCCGTTTGTTCAAAGGTTTCGCTTAGTGCAGGACAGGGGTCTGCTCTGCAGTATTAGCCGAAGACATCCAGCAGCGTCTTCTATGCTAGTCCAAAGACTCAACCCCAAAACTACTGCAAACCCCAAACCCCGAAACCCACAACCCGCACCTGTGACCCAATCCTAACCCTAAAGTTACACCCTCTCCAGGCTTCCTCGATAAGTAAAGATCGTTGTCCGGCCCGGTGCGTGTCAGGGAAACAAGCTTCTTGGATGGCAAAACCAGAGAAGTAATATAAACCCTGGACCCTAAACCCTAAACCCTGAGTGACTAGACAAGTACTCCTTGGGGCCCGGTATTTCAAGTGTAGCACAAGATTCCCCAGAGCCCTGTTCAATTGTCAAAAGCTCCTATAGTAGCAGGTTTAACAGCACATGCCCTTCAAGCCAAACCGCTCCGGACTGTAGACTCAACAAAACCTTCGTTCGGGGGTTGGTCGTGGTTTGTATGTAGATAGATCGAAAGACAGATGGGCAGATAGACAGATAGATAGACAGATAGACCGATAGACGGCCAGAGATAGACAGATCATGAAATATCGACAAATAAACAGATGGATAGATAGACACATGGATAGACAGATAAAGGTGTATAGGGTCTCGGGACAATGCTGCCTTCTTTTCGGCGTAGGAGAGCACGCAGGAGACAAAGCATGTGGTCGTATATCTGCGACTTCGAAGTAAAAGACCTTCGAATGCAGCGCGAGGCGTGATGAGATCCACGCCTGCAGAATTTGTGTGTGGTGAGGAACTGAAGTGCGGACAGAGCGAGTAAGACACCAATCTCGGAAACTATTGTGCTATGGACAGCTCGTAACAGATGATGCCGTTAATGACAACTGCAGTCTTTGGACATGAAGCTCGCCCTGCACATGCGTCCACAAAGAGAGAAGTCAGTGAAACAGAACTTATTTAAGTTCCTGCACTACCATGCTCCTCAGTGCTGCCGGGACTGTGCAGCCCGCTCTCTCTCCTTCTCTTGCTGCTTGCGCCAGGCCACCGCCTGCTTCCAGGCCTTCTCCACCTCCTTCGCCGAGAAGTCCTTCGGGCGGAACCTCATGTTCCGCTTCTTGCGGCAAACAATGCAAGCTGCCTGCCAGGCCTGCTCACCAAGGTTCCACCTGATGCCCTTCTGTGGTCCGAGCGGCTCGAAGTGTGGGAGCTCCGAGAGGCGCTTTACCGGCACCACCTCCTCCTGCTGCCCCAACTCCTTGGCCAGCTCCCGAGCCCTGGCCTCGGCCTCCTCCTTCACCTTGAAGAAGCCCCCACTGACCTTCTTCACATTGTTAGTGGCGGGGTCTCTTATTTGGACACGCCAGGTTCTGTTCTGCTTGTTGTAAAAAACGCCCTTCACCGCGGAAACGGAAGCCTTCTCCGTCACGGGCTTCGGCGGCTTCAGCTTCCCCTGGCGCACGAGCTCCTCGCGGAAAGCCTTAGCCTCCTGGAGCGCCGCCGCCTCGGCCTCGGCCTCGCAGAGGCCCAGCTTCATGTGCATGGAGATGGGGAAGTGGCGCTTTTGCCGTTTGCCTGATACTTGCCAGGAGACGCACCAGCATGCCACGTCTTTGCGCCAGCTAATTCCCTGAATGCCGCTCTGGCGCTCCAGGCCTCGGAAGTTCTTCGCGACGACCTGGCCTTGCTCGGCTCTGGGCTCGACTCTGCTGGATGACTTCGTCTCGTCGGGTTCTGGGACAGAGCCCATGGACTCGAAGATCTCGAGGCCCTGCATGGCGGAGCCACCTCCCGTCGGCGAGAGCTTCATCATGCCGTCCTCCACGAGAAGCCAGCCATTGCCGGCCCAAGCTCGCGTTGGAAGATCCCGCATCCAAGGCCACATCTTCATGCACTCAGCTGCTCGGTGCTGAGTGACGGTTGAGCTCTTTTGGGCCTGCGGCCTAGATCCAGCAGTGGTCTCTGACTGTCGCTCGCTGCTTGCGTCACTGTTGTCATGGAACAGGACATGGTGTGGATTCTCGTGGTAGAAGTCGCGCAACTCTCTGAACTGCTCTTTGCCGAGGAGCTGCACGCATGCTGTCGTCTGTTCTCTTACACATCCTTGCCACGGAGCTGCTGCCAATCCAAGAAAAGGGCTGGCCGGGCAGCAGGGCTTTGTGGGCAGCCACGTCTTGCCAGAGGATTGAAATGCTAGGCATTTCTCGGCCCACTCTGTCAATCGCGACTCGAAGGATGGAACGAAGACGTCCGGACTCTTCTGGCTCAGCCGACGCCTCTTCGGCCCAGGCTGCTCAAAATCCTCTTGCTTGACTTGTACCTGCTGCTCCTCATTCGCTTTCTCCTGCTCTACGCCAGTCCTTAACTGGAAGGCAACATCAACAGGGCTTAGGGTTTAGGGTTAAGAGCCCGAAACTCAAGGTTTAGGCTTTACAGCCTAACATGTGGCACCATGTTTTGATACAGGAGGGACGCCAGAGTGGAACGGCAATGGGGGGCTATGATTTAGGGGCAAATTAGTATAGTCAGTAGACAAAGCAGCACCGCGATTGCGAGTTCTACAGCAGAACAAAGCGCTGCAAATAACAACATAGTTTAAGACCCGCATCGAAGAGGCACAAAGAACCGACTCTAATCACTGACTGCGCCGCATGCTTAAGGCCTCTAACTTGAGGCACAAGGCCGGAAGTCACTGAACAGTGAAGCGAACTGGCTGAAAGAGAGGTGTCTGGTTTCGGACTTCCACTGCAGGAGTGCAGGTCTTGCCCAAATGCGAGGTTGAACCAGCCCCTGGCAGCCCTTTCATCCCTCGAACATACAGCTGCAAGGCCGAAGCCCGAAACCGCAAACCTCAAGATCATACACCAATAGCCTCGGATTCTGCCCATAGTCCGCGCTCAAGAGACTCGCGGCATATAAGGTTCCTGACCGCTGCCAAGCCTCGACTCCCTTTGCGACTTCGTGTCCTCCGTGATGGGGGAGACAGGATAAAGATGGTGCATAAGAGCTTTGCGTTTGTCTGCAGAGCTGACTGGTTGATATGCTTCTGCAGACTCCTGCAGACCTAGACACCGGCTTGACGCCATGAAAGCGCCAAGATGCACGAAGCCCGCTGACTTGTAAACATTGAACAACACAAGGTGTAGAAGTTAAGCCTTGTAACATCCTGCAACAGTCACCTGCAGGTTTCTTCCTGAGCCCCTGGATGCGAACATCCAGGCCCCAAGCCAAGCGCAGCGCTGCCAAATAAACATGAGGACCTAGAAAGGCTGCTGATATAATATCACAAGAGTCTTATCGCATCAAAAAACAGGTATGAACAACTAGAACTTCAGTGAGTACATCGAGGCCTGCAGCAGATGAGCTAGCCCAAACCGGGTTTAGGGTTTCAGGTTTAAGGGTCTACAGTACAGTATTACTATATGTTCCTTGCTTTTCGGTGAAACTAATAGCTAATGTAGTAACATGCTTCTTGTTGCGCGCAGACATATTTACACTTGACGGATGGGGCTTCGCCGGGTCCGTCATTGCATTTATCCCGACTATACTATACCTCCAACCATCATGGTTAAAGCAAGCTTGTTAGTTGAAGATGCTCTCATCCCCCCAGGGATGCTTCATCGCTACAAGCTAATTCCCCGTGTCTTCCGTCGCCTCGTGCCTCTCTTCCTTCACTTCCATATCTGCATCTTTCGAAGCCTCCTCCTTCACCCGCTTCATATCCTTCCAGCACGCTGAGCCGACATCTGCTGGTCTAAGCTGGTTGTGCAGTGTGCACACGTGTCTGCTGCTAGTCAAAGACGGATGCGACTCAGATTGCTTCGCAAGCTTCAGTCAGAAAGCTCTGAGAAAGTAAACCCTGTCAGGGTTTCGGGACCTGGATCTTGAATTCAATCGCCGGACAGATAAAACACTAATAGCACTAAATACAGGTGATTGTCTAACATCGCAGTACGTATTCATTGGCAATTACAGTTAAGTGAAACACTAGCAGTCACTAGCAGTAACCTCATGGTCTGAAAACAACATCAGTCCAATAATGGTACTCCCTTCAACCCGAAGCGCCCTGTCTCGCAACTGAAGGAGAAGCACACAGCCATCCCGTCAGCCTTCCATGTCGTCTCCTCCTTGACTTCCACCTTGATATCCTTGGACGAGTCCTGCTTGATCTCCGTCTTCACTTTCTTCTGCGCATCCTTCGAAGCCTCCTCCTTCACCTGCTTCATGTCCTTCAAGCGCGCTGAGCCGATATCTGCTGGTCTAAGCTGGTTGTGCAGTGTGCACACGTGTCTGCTGCTAGTCAAAGACGGATGCGACTCAGACTCGGCAGGGTCTCGACATTCATGGACGTCGCGGCAACCCGTTCGGAACTTGACATCTGAATAGTATGACCTGAACACCATAAGTCCTCAGTCCTAAAACCCTGAAGCCTAAGCGCTGGGCCTCACCCCTTAAGTGCTACACCTCAACCTGAAGCCTACTGGGTCGGCTGTGCTGGGGATTCTTTCGCAAGCTTCAGCCAGAAAGCTCTGCGAAAGTAAACCCTGTCAGGGTTTCGGAGTTTCGGGACCTGGATCTTGAGTTCAATCACCGGACAGATAAAACACTAAGAGCCCAAAATCAAGGTGATGGTCTAACAACTATTCAATGGTATTGCGACATGAAACACTAGCATCGTGGTCTGACAACAACATCTGTCGAAAAATGGTACTCCCTTCAACCCGAAGCGCGCTGTCTCACAAGTGAAGGAGAAGCACACAAAATCCCATCAGTCTTCCGTGTCGTCTCCTCCTTGACTTCCACCTTGATATCCTTGGACGACTCGTGCTTGATCTCCGTCTTCACTTTCTTCTGCGCATTCTTCGAAACCTCCTCCTTCACCTCTCTTTTCATATCCTTCAGGCACACTGTGCTAGTCAGGCAGCTTCAACGTCGGTGCCGCATTGCTAAAGCCCGAACCTCAAACCACCGGTCAAAGTCTTTCTTGTAGGTTTCTGAAGCCCTCGCAGCCTGGAGCCCTGAACCCGCACTGGTCTTGTAAGTTCCTGACCTACTTGTCTAGTCCAAATGCTAACCTTTGAGAGTTTTTTGGGATTCCCACAAAGGTTAAAGGTTACCTACTCAGCTACTTTCTGAAGCCCTCAGCCTGAAAAAGTTGAACCCGCACGGCGGGGCCACATACTAGCAAGCAGCCTGAAACCCTTCACATTGATGTCAGCTCTACAGGTACAGCCGAGTCGAAGCTATACCAACTACACTGTTTGGTATCCCATTGTATTGCACAGCATACAGAGCATGCGTGTTCTGAAAGTGCCTACTTCGCGCCAGCAGTTCACAGACTTTCAAATGATCAACAGACTGAACACCGATCAGCCCGACATGTGAAAGCGGCACCCGCAGTCCTCACTGCTTCGGGCCAAGACAAAGGTGGAAGCAAAATAAGTCATCCCGAAAACTTCAACAACTCAACAACCCTAAATACCAAAAAAAAAACGTCCTAAAAGTCCTAAATCCCGCAACCGTAAGCCAAAAGCTTCGCCCCACTCGCCTTCCGGAGCTGCCGCTTGCGACATCGATTTCTGCTAGCACTACAGGACTAGAACCACGCTTGGGGCTCTACTTTGCGAAGTTCGGGACCATGAAACGTCAGCAGGAGATGACCGCCCTAAACTGCCAACACGACCAATCATGCATCTGCATCTGCCTCCAACTCTTGTTTGACCTCATCCTTCACCTCCAGGCTTATAAGGGTTTGACATTAAGGTGTCAGGGTGACAGGGCTTTAGAGTTTGGGGCCACTACGGCATAGAACTTTGGAGAGGGGAGGTTTGTGAGTAACGACGCGGTATGCTTCTATTTGCAGGGTTGCTTCTCGCAGGACGGCTCACTACTCCGTCTTGTGAAAACAGAAACAGCATGGATTCGAGGTGCACTTCCTTACTTGCACGTGTCGGCTTGTCTGCCTCACTCACAGGGAATAGCCAAACGCAGAGAATGGGGTGGCGAAGGCTGAAAGCTAGACAGCCCCCAACACCATAGTGCTGACTCCCGGGCGCCTCAATCTCCCTCGCTGCTTCTTGCTTTACTTGCTGAGGTCCGGCTGGCTCCTTCCGTTTGTATCTTCAGATCAAGGCATCAAGGCAGAGGTGGAGTAGTGGAGGTGTGGTGTCATGCGGGTGGTCACCCGCCAACACATCTGAAATCGGTGCATGAATGACATGAGCCTCAACCTCACAAGCACACCCTGCTTGACACATGTCGGACACACACTCCAGCCTCAGACTGTTTGGAACTCCCTACCTGCCCCGCCGTCCCGTGACTTTGCTCACCTTGCACGGTTCTGAATACGGACTTCATACAGCCTACATAGGTCCAACACGTGAGGGTTAAAACGTTGATACACCCGAAGCACCCAAGCCTAAATCTGAATGCTGAGCGATCTCACAAATGAAAAGCCTAAAATGCAAAGCTCAAGTCGCTGCGTCTGTTCAATCCGCACCCATCCAGCCATATACGCCCAGTCGTCACGCCGGCAGTCCACACAATGGCAGGGCCGCAGTCATGAGAATAGGGCTCTGGGGTATCATATTAAGGGCTTGTCTCACGTATCATTCCGACCCCAGTAGTTACCTCAACCCTGAACCCTTAACCCTCTGCTCCTGGCTCTTAGCAGAGTGGTCGACGCTGCATTCCTGGCAGTGAAACGTGATTTGTTAGCGATTCGGTTTGTGAGCGTGGTTCCGGGAAGGTTTTCGTAGACCCCAAACCCTGCACCCCAAACTCTAAACCCTGAATCCTACACCCTACTGTAAACCCTGAACCCCAAAACCCTAAATGCTAAACCCGGAATCTCTTAAAACAAAAAAAAAGACGCCGGAAAACGGAAAACCCCAAAAAACCTTCCAAGCCTCAGACCGTAAACCATGAACACCCGACCCAGGAATCTCAAAGCCTACGCTGATACGACTAAGGCCCAAACCAAACTCTGAACCCAGTACCCCGATGGACTGAGCCCCAAAGTCCTTAAGCCCTGGTGCCTCTTTCCTTCTGTAACCCCAAACCACGAAGAGCATGGGCGGACCCACTTTGGACCCGTCAGATTAAGAGCTTCGGAGGCTCAAGTTTTAAGTCATCACGATTCAGAGCAGACGGGTTCAGAAGCTTAGGTTTGATTCAAGGGCCTTGATGTTCAGAATAGAGCTCTTTGGCCATGCTCGGTGCATAGGGTTTCGGGGGTCGGGGCTTAGGATTCGCTTCGGACTGGTGGTGATACCTTTGGCTCCCAATCCCTGAACTCAAGACTGTGGGAAACTGTACACGTCGAATAATATGAACAGTTCTGCACCTCAAAAACCTTTCTCGTGCAGAAAAGCAGACTTGAAACCATGGGCCCTGCACCCTCGACCCTGTAAACAAATGGAAAAACTCTATGCGAACCATTCAAAGCGGGGAGCCACAGTCGACAAAGACAGAGACGACTGAACCCAAGGCCCTGTCCTGCCAACCCTAAACTCTGCCTGGTACATCATCACTCCCAAGCCCTGAACCCTAAAATTGCTTGTGAACGAAGGACACGGACTGTGGCACTCGCAGCCTGAAGCTACAAGTCCTCAACCTCTAGATTCAAGAAATACTGCAACATCAAATCTAGAAACCTTATGATGTGTAGGACTTCAGGCGAAGGGTTTGAGGTGCTTCCGGCCTTCTGCAGCTGCGACGGACGAGGTTTGCGCTGCTTTGCAACCTTCACCGACAGAACGAACACCTCGGCCGAGTTCACAAGACGGTGCTCTCGGGGTGTTTTTTTATAGTGGCAAGAACGGGATCTTCTCTTCAGAGCACGACACACGATGATACAAGAAAACTACCACATAATTGTTCCTAGGAAGCCTAGTAACGCACTCCTCGGGAATCTATGAACCCTTTCACTGCCAGCCCCGAATCCAGAACCCTGCCAATTTTCAGGTTGAGGGTTGCGGGGCTAGGGTACTGGGGTTAGGGCTGGCTGTAATTCGGATTCGTGGGGCGAGGGTGTAGTTGTTGCTGCTGTTATGCTGCGATGTGCGTTCCTTGGTCATCTGACAAACTCCTGAGGGTTAGAAATTAAGATCTTAGGGCCTGGGTCTTGAACCCGGAGAGTATAATGCTTTACCCTTGCTACGAAAGTAGATCAAGTATCGTAAACAGGGTGTGTAGGTAGAGGGCTGCCAAAACCATCAACATACCCTAAGAGTGCCGGGACGTTTGATGTCAACGATGCTGTAAAGTGAACGAAAATTGAATGCTGCACGAATTTAATTGTGCAGTGATTGCACAGCGGAAAAACATCCCAGACAGAGAATCATCCGATGTCCGGCCATGGTTGTCAGAACGTCAAGAAGCCGGACGGACCGTGCTCATGCTGTCAAGGCCTCTGACCCCAACTCGCCCGTCCATGCTACAGGACATCCCCTCAACCCCTAAACCCTAATGATTGGCCCTTCGGACACGTTCAGGCTTTAGGGTTGGTTAGACTCCAACGTCAAGGGCCTTGACGGCCGCCGGCCCCTTGAAAATGCTATGAAAGCAGCGACCCAAGAGGTCCACGTAGTTGTGTTGACTCCATTGACTATTTCTGGACTGTGGACTCTAAGTATGGATTTTGGTGTGTAATAAAGGCCGGCCGGATTCAATGTCCTGACTTTCTTAATCAGGAGTATACTTAGACCCGTAGAGTGACACATGTTCAGGAAAGTCGCATCCGCGGAAGCCATTGCACGGTCTCTTGCAACAGTGGAATCTTGAGCCGCTTCACATCGGATTCAGCGTTGGGTCTGCGGCTTAGGGTGTTGGGTGTGGGGTCTGAGGTATGGTTGGATTTTCGGCTTCAGGGTTGGGGCTTGCCGTACCAAGCCGCATCTGAATATGAGATGAGGAGGGTGCGCAGCTTACTATATCGGGTCCAACAGGCCTCTAGGGTTAAGGTCTCTGCCCTTACAAAGTTTTATAGTGATTCAGGGTTCCGGGGCTTACAACGACGAGGGGTGTACAGGACTTCGCACAGGATTTACTCCCTTGTTCAATCAGCGGGCCCGCAAAAGTTCAATCTTTCTAAGATAGCACCTACACCTAGTACAGAAGCATTAATTATTAGAAAAGGGTTTGGGGTTATACTTTCACTATATTGATGAATCCTAAGAACCTCTTTGGCCCGAGACCATGCGGCTTAGGGACTTTCAGGCTTAGAGGGATACGGGTTAAGTCCCGTGGATTCGGGTTTGGGGGGAGGGGTTATGATTCAGGGACTTAGGGTTTCGCGTTTTCGAGTTTGGGTTTAGGGTTTCGGATTTAGGGTTTAGCTTTTAGGAGTTTGGGTGTTTAGGGTGTAGGCCTTCTCACCCCAAGCCCTGCATCGGATCATCCTCGCCTGGCGTGCCGGACGGTCCTGGAGGCGTGTCAGGTAAGCGGCCAGCACCTGCTCACCAACCCTAAACACCAGGCAAGGTTTGGCACTCATGAGGCAGGGGAAGCGAGACGCTTACGGCCCCTTTCGAAAACGACCAAGTCAGTCATCCTGGTACTCGTCAGCCTTTGACCATCCCTAAACCCTAAACCCTAAACCCCTAAACCCTAAACCCTAAACCACTAAACCCTAAACCCTAGGGGCCTAGGTTTAAGGGCCCAGAAGAGTCGAACGGCTTCTTAGAGCGTGTAATAACTGATGTATCTTTATCGTGGTAACAAGGAAAATTCGTATTGTTCGTGCTTCAGACACCTAACATGACACCCTCTCAACACCACCTAAGGTTGCAGACATTCAACTTATGCCTCAAATACTGAATACCAAACCCTCGACCCTCAACCTAAAACCCTAAACCCTTCACGCTTGAAAATAGGAACGAACCTAAACCCTC